ACTCACTTGGTTCACAAGCCGCTGAGCCTCATAAAAAATGAGTGATACGTCAAGGTCGGAAACATTATCGACCCCCGCGAAGCAGCCACGAAATATGTCATCCCCTTCGGAGGCTGTCCCCACATCAGGGGTCCCCATGGATCGGGCATCCCAAAACTACCCCTCGGAGAACGTGGGGCCGGGAGGTGAATCGTCAATATTAATTGCCCCGAGCGAGTCACTTAGGGCATTCTCTTCTCTTTGAAAGGCCTCAGAATTAGACCTTTCGGGAAAATCTGCCGGTTTCTCATCATAACAGGGGGCATCATCAACACCCGATGATTTGGGGACTCTACTCGGACCTTCCCCTGAGATCACCTCGGTCTGCGGTTGAACCCCCTCGACTGTCACCAGCTCAGCAGCTTTCGAAGCTCCGATGCTTCCCTCTTCCAAGACACCAACAGGCAGTCGGTATCTTCTCCTTCCTCGTCTTCATCTCATAGCGTTTGGACTACATCGGCAGGCAGAACGGTGGGATCATTCTTCGACTTTCGAGCCCCGCTTTTCTTAGGCCTTGGGGTATCTGGCGGCGAGGCCCTTCTCCTCTTCTTATCTTTGGTAGGCTTCGGGACCTCCTCTCCCCCGAGGGGAGGCAGCCTCATAACGACACTATCTCCAAGACCTGTATGAGAAGAAATCAAGTTAAAAGGAAGTATTTCACAGGAAAGCATCAAACTCGGACAGGTGAACTTACCATGATTTTTGGCCTCCCATCGACCCTTGGCCAAATAACGCCACGAGCGCTCAACATACGAAGAGGTTGAAACCAGTTATCGAACCCAACCTGCAAGGTCCGGGACCGCACCAGGAAACCAGGGGAAGCTGTACCATAAAGAAGAATATAGATGAGAAAGAGGTAAAAGAAACATAACAAGTGACCAAACGATATCGGTGAAGTTCTACTTACACTTCATGTTCCATTCTTCGGGGAATGGCATCTTCTCGGTAGGGATTAAATTGGAGGTCCTGACTCGGACAAACCGGCACATCCATCCTGGGTCCTTGTCCTTGTCTATGATTGAGAATAACACCTTCGTGGCCCGGCGCTGAAGCCTTATCAGTCCGCTCCGATAAAGACGAGGGTTGTATAGCCTAATGAGATAATCGAGGGTGAAAGACATCCCTTCGATCTTGCTCGAGAAGAATCTGAGCAAGATGACAATGCGCCAAAAAGAGGGGTAGATCTGGCCTAGGGTTACCCGGTATTGGCGGCAGAAGTCGATTATGACGGGATCGACAGAACCCAGTGTGAAAGGGTAAGTATACATACTTAAGAACCCTTTCACATGAGTGGTGAAGTCCTCTTCGGGGGGTAGGAATCACCACCTCTTTATTCTCCCAGTGGCAGTCCTTTTTTACCTGCTCGAGATCGCCTTCGGATATCGAACAGATGTATCTAGACATGGGCTCGCATCGGCCAGGAACCGAAGAGGGGTTTTCGACTTTAAAGTCGGAAGTAAGTTCGCATGGCCCGGGGATGCACTCTTCGATACGTGGCTCCACCGGTATTTTGTCACCGGCCGGCCGCGATGAGGAGGCCTTTTTTCTCTTGAGGAACAGTCTTTGATGTTTTTGCCATTGCTATATGAAGTTTAAAGAAGGAAAAGGTGGAACTTGCATTTTAATAAGAGATTGGCAAATGGAAACCGACAAAGTTGATGGACTTGAAGAGAATAGAAATGGAAACCAACAAAGTTGATGGACTTGAAGAGAATAGAAGAGCTTTTGAAGATTAGAAGAAGTTTGAAAAGATTATGAAGGTGGTCTATTTATAATAGCCACTTTGACGGTTTGAAAACACTAGTGCCCGGTCATCAACTGGCGTTAATTAATAACCTTGGGAACTGTGCAGACGTGATGTTTCAATCGCTTATGTCGCTTACGTCACGATGTTGACGTCATAATTGATCGAAGTCTCAAATTCGTTTCTTCTCGTTACACTCCAAAAAATGAGGGGACTATCTGTATACAGTCGAAATCGGGCATACCCGATTTTGTTGGCAGGGGAGTTGTCTCGAGGGTAACCTTATAATAGATCGGGCTCGAGCTCGAAGATAGAACATCACACCTGGAGATCGAAGTGTCCATTGAAATCGAGGCCAGCAGTAATCGAGATCGAGCATGATTGACTTCGAGTGAGGCGTAATAACGAAATGGCGAGATATCAGTGACCGGTCGAAAGTAAGGGAGAAAATCCCGCAACAAATCAAATCAAAGCGGTTATTAACGCCAGTCATAGGATCTACTTCCGTTATTAGAGTTGTACCTTATTTAGGATCTCTCTGTTATATAAAGATGGATCCCATTCACTTGTAAGGACACATTATTCACTAATAAGAATATACATATACGCTGTACGTTATTTTTTTTTGTTCATCACTATTCATCGTTGTTTGTTCTATCCTATATTGTTCTTATTAATTAACCTCGAGACTACTTCGAATCGAGGTCGAGGCATCGCTTGCAGACCGGTTTGATTTATTTTATTGTCCAAGTTATCTATTTAATTCGTTGTTTATCAATTGGTGCTGGTTTAAATCACATATTCTTAAAATCACAATATAAGTTTAATTGTTACTCAATTCTTAGGGTAAACACGCATATAAATAACTTACAACTTCCTGCGGGAATAATCCAATTAGAAATTTATTTGGTTGAAAAAAGAGAAGTAGCTAGATCTTCGACTTACGACATGAAGTACTTCACAAATTCAACAGCAATAAAAACCATAATTAATTTAGCACACAGTCAATGAAGTGTTTCTCAAAATCAATATCTTCTTGAGTTCCTATTAGGGCTTATACGTCCAACTATTTTACATGGCCTCTCGATTCCTGCGAATTTTAGAAGGGAAAATAGCTTCACAAAAAAGACAATTTAAGAATGATCAACCTGAAATGTAAATCTTACACTGCTTGAATTGAAAATTAACTTGCTTTCGCACTTTCCAATGATGCAAAGATGTCTACAGTCTTTGCAAGAAGAAACCATTTACAAGTCTTGCAAAGAGGGAATCACTTCAACTCTGGGTTAGCAGAGTATGAAAGTCCACTTAAAACTGCAATAAGGATTAAAAGCAAATTCCATATTTACGACGAAAATAATAAAGAAGTGGTGCATTTGCTCTTAATCATAAGGATATAAAAGACTCAATGTGATGCTTTATTATAACTAATATTGTTTGATCTGTTCAGTTATAGACTAATATGTACTGAAACCAACTTTTTCAATAAGGGTATATTGATTCCTTGAACTACAACTTCCACAATACCAGCCAAAGGAGCAATTTCAAATCTTACCACCTGTTTATTGGTTACTGCAATACAAAGCAGCGAAAGCATAAGTTCCAAAACCAATAATCAGGACCCTGCTGAGGACTAATACAGTCCTTTATCTAGTTTCTTATGAATCAAATGCAGTTGAACTCACCGGTAGAAGGGACATGTGTATATACTGAAATAGTAGGCCATAATATCATAAAGTCCAGCAGAGGGAATTAGGGAAAGAGGAATTCACTTGACTGTATCATGTGATTAAACAGTAAATAGATATTCTTTCAGGATATCTCTCTAACGGTAGAAGCTTCATATTATTTTTTCAAAAGGAAGTTAATTGATGACAAATTATCTTTAGAGATATGAAAAGCATCCCGCACTCCATCATATTTCCAGCTAACAACTGGTGTTTTCTCAGAATTCTCTTGGCGTAATGCTTAAGAAGAAGAATATATAATATCTATATCTGTTGAGAAGAAAAAGCCCCCTCATAATTCTGATTTTCATGGTAGTTCGTCTACCGATAAAGAAGAAGAAGACCTAACAGAGATGGTTTGTCTTCAGACCAAAGTGTTCGATATAACCTAAGTCAAATAGGTTATTTTTGGTCGACTTTGGATGGACACGTGGAGAAGGCAAGGCCTTTGGATCAAGTAAGCTGATCCATGATTGATTAAATAGAGACCATCTGATAATAGTGGTACTAGAAGCTTCCCTCACGTAAATGACATGTGAGAGAATATAAGTTAGTTACTAGAAGAATAATTTAGTTATTAGTGGGCAAATTAGAATAGGATAAGTGTACAGATTTTACTCTTTCCGCTCATTCTTTTATTCCTTAGCAAGTGCATATATACGTGTACATGAAGTGATGAAATACACAGAAATTTTCAGAATTTACTCTTCAAATTCGTTCATGGTATCAGAGCACCTAGCTCGATCCAACAGTTCAATTATCTAGATTATTTACATCATTTCATCCTCAACGTCAACTCATCTTCACTAAACAAAATTGGGTGACACAACCATAACAGGAGATACCAACAACGTTGCAAAGGCTGTGAGTTATGATATCAATCACCCCTATCATCTTAATAATTCTGATTCTCCTGGGATGACTCTAGTCAACACCTTGTTTGATGGAAGGGGATATCCAGGATGGATGAGGTCCATTTTGTTGTCTCTATCATCTAAGAAGAAACTTGGGTTTATCAATTGAGCATGCCAATCTTCAAATCTGAGTTCTCCAGATCATGATTTCCTGGATTCTGAATGCCCTTTCTAAAGATATCGCAGACAGTGTGATATACTCCAGAACTGCAAAGGAGCTTTGGGATAGCTTGGAGGAGAGATTTGGAAAATCAAATGGAGCCAAGGAGTGATATTGCAGGATACTTCACTAAACTCAAACGATTGTGGGATGAATTGGATGCTTTAAATGTTGTCATATGTTGTTCATGTGTGTGTACTTGTGAAGGAAAAGCAAAATTAACTAAGTCACTTGAAGATCAGAGGTTAATTCAATTCCTAATGGGATTAAATGAAATCTATGTACAAGCAAGAGGAAACATACCCATGATGAATCATTTACCTAGCATAGATGTTGCCTATTCTCTTCTCTTGCAAGATGAAAATCAAAGAGAAGTTTATGCAAACACACATTTTAACTCAGATTCATTGTTATTTATGGCAGCAGGAGATGTGAAACAACCTAATGCCCAACTTTTAGCTGATTTTGTAGCTTTTATGGTGATAAGGCAGGGGAGAAACTTTCAGAAAAATAGGAACCAAGCACAAAGAGGAGCAACAGTGGGAACAAAACTTAATAATTCAGGGCAGAAGTTCACTAAACCACAGCAGAAGTTTAAGGCAAAGAAGAGGTACAATCCAAAATGTGTCTTATACTTATTGTGAAAAAACAAGGCATACTCAAGAAGATTGCTACAGAATCATTGGATTTCCAGATGATTTTGAGTTTACCAATCAGAAGAACTATCAAAATCAGATCAAGGCAAATGCAGTTTTAACACATGAAAATCATGAGAATCAGACAGGAGAGAATACTGAAAACAACAATAATTTTGGGAAACAACTCAACAAGGAACATGTTACAGAAATGGTGAACATATATAAGCAGGCAAAGTTGGCACAAGCAGGAAATTTAGGAATCAATGCTAATGCAGTTGCTGGTACTATTCTAAAATACTCAGGTTCAGTCTTTACCACTCTAAATTCTGACACCTAGATCATTGATTCAGGTGCTTCAGAACATATGTGTTTTGATCCCAACTCTTTCTTATTTCTAACTCAACTTCCTGTGCCTTTGAATATCAATTTACCTAATTCTTTCAAGGTAATTGTTACTCATATGGGAAATGTTTCTATCCCTCCAGGTCATGTCTTGAACAATGTCTTACATGTTCCAGATTTCAAATACAACCTATTGTCAATACATAGGTTTTGCATTCCGTTCAAATATGGTGTCTTATTCACATCTATTGGGTGTGTATTGCATGGCCTTTCAATGAAGAGTCCACAAGCTTTTAGTGAAATTAGAGAGGGACTCTACATATTGGAGCCTAGTAGTCTTAAGTCTAAGAGTCTATTCAGTATTAATGTATCTTCAATTCAAAAAGGAAGAAATTCCATTTCAGAGTCTATGTCTTTTTCTAGTCCTGTTCATGTTAATGCAATTCCTGATGTTAAACTTTGGCATGTAAGGTTGGGGACATCTCCCACTTTCAGCAATGAAACATTTAGATTTTCTTCATTGTGACTCAAATTCTGATTTTATCTGTGATGTTGTCCTAAGGCTAGGCAGACAAAGAAACCTTTCCCTGTCAGCACCATTAAATCCATAGATATTTTTTATCTCATTCATATAGACACATGGGGACATTACAAGTCTAATACCTATAATGGGTTTCAGATATTTCCTTACTATAGTAGAGGAACATGGACATTTTTGTTGTTCTCTAAGAGCAATGCATTTCCTATGCTCAAATCTTTCTTATCCATGGTTGAAAGACAGTTCAAAGCAAATGTGAGAATGATAAGGTCTGATAATGCTCTAGAATTGGGGAAAGTGACACAAGAAGCAACTTTTCTTGCTTTAGAAGGTATTCTGCACCAGCTGTCTTGTGTAGAAACACCTCAACAAAATGAGATTGTTGAGAGGAAACATAGACATCTCTTAGAATTTTCTATAGGTCTAATGTTTCAATCCAGACTGCCTATGTCATATTGGGGTGAATCTATTCAGACTTCCACACACATTCTTAATAGGTTGCCTTCCAGTGTTCTTCAAGGAAAGACACCATATGAGGTCCTATTTCATCACAAACCCAAGTATGACTATTTGAGGAATTTTGGATACCTATGTTATGCCTCTACTTTGAAACAGGGAAGAGGGAAGTTTGATGCGAGGGAAACAACTTGTGTTTTACTTCGTTACCCTCTTCAATAGAAGGGATACAAACTGTTGGAGCTGTCCACAAGGAAAGTATTTGTGTCTAGGGATGTGACATTTCATGAGTCACATTTTCCTTTTGCAGAAATCAACACACCACACCATCCTATTTTTTCAACTTCAATTTTCACCACAGAACCTACCTATTCAACCACATTCCAAGACCAAACACAACCTACTTCTTCAGAATATGATGCAACAGATATTCTTTCATTACAATCATCAAGTCCTACTCACATTTCTCATCATCATTCAGTTTCTCCACAATCACCAACTCCAGTCTCTCCTAGCCTAGATCCATCACATACTAGGACACCTTCTTCTACACCTCAAAAACCTATGCCATTGAGGAGATCAGGAAGAGTGTCTACACAACCAATCTACCTGAAAGATTTTATGTGTAACAACATCATGTTCACAGATCTAGCCACAACTTGTTTTACTCAACCCTGTCAACCTACTGAGTACTGTTTTTCATCTCTCTCACCTAATAACCAGCATGTAATGCAGTCCCTTTCTACCCTAACAGAACCTTCTAGTTTTAGCCAGGCTTGTCAACATCCAGGATCGATAGAAGCAATGAATGCAGAAATTAAAGCTCTAGAAGACAACCACGCCTGGGATGTGGTTGAGTTGCCTAAAGAAAAAAGAGCTTTACCTTGTAGATGGGTGTACAAGGTAAAGCACTTATCAGATGGCAGAATTGAAAGGTTGAAGGCAAGGTTGGTGGTCAGGGGGGATATTCAAAGAGAAGGAATAGATTACAGTTAGACTTTTTCACCAGTGGTGAAGATGACAACCATAAGGTGTCTACTCACTGTTGCAGCCAAGAAAGATTGGAATGTTTCTCAGCTAGATGTGAACAATGCATTCTTGCATGGAGATTTGCAAGAAGAGGTATATATGAGATTTCCAGTAGGTTTGGATCCTCCTAGTCCTAAACATGTTTGTCTTTTGAAGAAGTCACTATATGGTTTAAAGCAAGCGTCTAGGCAATGATATGCTAGGCTAGCAGGAGCTCTAAGTTTTAAGGGATATTCTTCATCAATGAATGACTATTCTTTGTTCTTTAAACGCACATGAGGTCTTATTTCTATCCTAGTTGTCTATGTTGACGACATACTAATCACAGGAAACGACTTATAAGAAATTCAAGGCATAAAAGATTTTTTGAATAGTGAATTCAAAGTCAAGAATTTGGGAAGTATACACTACTTTCTAGGTATGGAAATTTTGAGAGAAAAAGCAGGATGTATCGTGAGTCAAAGGAAATTTACCTTAGACATGTTGAAAGAATTTGATGTGTCTCATTTGACTCGAGTCAGTTCTCCTTTGGATCCTGCCTTCAAGCTTCAAGCTGATGATGGAGAATATCTGCAAAACCCAACTATATTTCGTCATCTGGTCGGAAAGCTAAATTATTTAACAAATACTAGACCAGATCTTTCTTTTGTTGTACTCACCCTCAGTCAATACATGCAGAAGCCATGTGTGTCTCATCTCTCTGCTGCTTTACGAGCACTCAAATACCTCAGTTCGGCTCCGGGACAAAGCATTCTTCTTTCAGCCGAGGCATCTTTTTCCTTGCTTGCATTCTGTGATGCTGATTGGGCTTCCTGCAAGGATTCAAGAAGGTATGTTAGTGGGTTCTTTATCACTCTATGAGGAGCTCCCATCTCCTAGAAATCAAAGAAGCAAGTCTCAATTTTTTTGTCATCTGCAGAAGCAGAATATAGGTCTATGAGAAGAGTTACTGCAGAGCTTACCTGGTTGGTACGAATTCTTGAGGATCTATCTGCACGAGTCACTCTACCAATTCCTCTTCACTCTGATAGCAAGGCAGCAATCCACATCACCCGAAACCCCGTCTTTCATGAACGCATAAAATATGTCGAAATTGACTGTCATTTTGTGCGTCAATAGTTTCTTTCAGGGTTAATCACTCTTTCCTTTGTTCCCTCCGAAGCTAAGCTTGCAGACATCTTTACAAAGCCTCTTTCTGGGGTTTCTCATCGAGAGATTTTGGGCAAGTTAGGGGTCACTAGGTTCCCCTCCAACTTTAGGGGGGGATGTTGAGAAGAAAAAGCCCCCTCATAATTCTGATTTTCATGGTGGTTCATCTACAGATAGAGAAGAAGATGAGACGATGAAGAAGAAGACCTAACAAAGATGGTGTGTCTTCAGACCAAAGTATTCGATATAACCTAAGTCAAATAGGTTATTTTTGGTCGACTTTGGATGGACACGTGGAGAAAGCAAGGCTTTTGGATCAAGCAAGCTGATCCATGATTGATTAAATATAGACCATCTGATAATAGTGGTACTAGAAGCTTCCCTCACGTGAATGACATGTGAGGGAATATAAGTTAGTTACTAGAAGAATAATTTAGTTATTAGTGGGCAAATTAGAATAGAACAAGTATACCGATTTTACTCTTTCTGCTCATTCTTTTATTTCTTAGAAAGTGTATATATACATGTACATGAAAGTGATGAAATACACAAAAATTTTCAAAATTTACTCTTCAAATTCGTTCAATATCCTCTTTGTAACTAAGAAGAAAGTGAAAGGAAAAAGCGGTACAACTTTGTCATTATCATTTAACAAGTCACAGAGACTCTATTGTTTAATTTCAAGTCGGTTTTTCCTAAATAAATGACTATTGAGTCCATCACAAGCGTTGTTATAGATGGTTAAAAAAGAATGTGACAGAAGTAGGTCAAAGAATAAATGTTATCAAGAAAAAGGCCACTGAATAAAGCAGAACAACACATTGGAAGTTACATTCTTCCTTATTAGACTTTAGAGCCAGCTTTATTGTAGCATACAGCAGAAAACCCCAATTTCCTCAATCCTTCACCTACGACGTGAAAATCAATTTCTTCTTTAAGTAAAAACTTCAAATTAAAAAAGATACAGCTTTTGAGAATGAAAACTTTGATCATGCACCAACTTTAATCAGCCCTGACATGCGTCTAAATGGAATATAGGATCGATAAAGTATTGAATATCTATTAAAATAAATTATTAACATTCTTATACTCCCAGTAAGCACAAATACTAATGGCAATGCCAAAACATTGACGCCATACACTCCCTCCCTCAACTATGAAAGTGCGAGTTCATGTTTCGTTAGATCTTCAGCTATAATCTACAACTTTTAGAAATGAGAAAATTCATAAATGTACAAAGAACAGGTAAACATTCTGGAAGATCACCACAAAAAAACTCCTCTAATTGATAATTAAATTTCTATGGCTTTTCTTAAAACTTTAGAAGGTCAGTAAACCCCATTAGGGCGTCCCTTGAGAGAATAAAGATCGGCTTTGAGATAGAAGGCAATGTGTTCGCTTCGACTTTCCTTAACCTCTTTCCCATTAGGGCGTCCCTAGACAAAGGTAAACAGAAATTTATCGAAAATCTTCAATAATACTCCAGGGATTTTTAGCAACAAAATCCTATGTGGAGCGAAGACCAGGAATGATAAGTTGATGATAATAGTAACTGCGGAAAGAGAAGAATAACCAGGAATCAAACTAAAGAAGATAACATGAGGTAAAATCCAATAATCAAAACCGTCTCTGCAGATGTTGAAAACATTCGAATTTGGTAAAACCCAATAATCGAAGTATCTCTGTATATGGTGAAAAGTTTTGAATTTGGTCCCTATTATTTAGACAAAGATTAAAAAAAAAAAAATTGTTAAAGTCAGAGAGCAGTGAAAGAGCAACAATCGGAAAAGCAAGATACAAAGAGAATTAGAAACGTAGTATGCAACGTGGCTGTTTAACTGCACAATGGAAGACACGTAAAAGTAAATACTTGAAAGGTCCAATATGCCCTCAGTTTGTATTATTTAGAAATCGGAAAAGGGCCTAAAATGCCCCTTCACTATATGAAATACGAGAAGCTAGTCCTCCGTTAAAAGTTGGTATCTATTCTGCTCTTGCCGTCAATCACTGTTTAAAAAGACGTTTTCAGGGCGAGCCCCGGGGCGAAAGTCTCAAGAGGCGTACGCCCAGCAATTTGGGGCATACGCCCGGGCGTTCAAGACGCGCTTTTTTAGTGAGGAGTAAAACCTAGAGACTTTTTCAAATTTAAAGAAAATTTGTTGAATAAGTCTTTCATATAATACCCAAATTCTCAAAAATCAGTTTGGTAATTACTCAAAAGGTTTAAAAAGTAACTCAAAAGTATTAAATTTAAAAGTCAAGACCTTTTTTATTGATTAAAGCCCTAATTCATGGTCTTTCCCAATTTTTTATCTTGTCCGCTAGTCTGCTAATATCTCCCAAACGCAACGAATATTTAATTTTTTTTACAAATACAAAGAGAACTACATTCTCTTTCATAGCAGCAAGTTCAAAGTTCAAATTGCAAGTTAATCATCCTTTTTGTTCCTCCATATAGAAAACTTTATTATTTTCGACTCAAATTACTTGTGCTTGTAAGTAACGTATAATAGATTGTTTTGATTAATTTTTTGTGGGGATATATTTCACATATTTATAATTTTCTTCAATTCTTATATAATTTTACCTGCTTATAAATATTTACTGTCATTATATTATTTTATAAAATATTAAAATTACATACCTATGGGGCTTATGCCTCGTGCCTCGGGGCTTACGCCTCGCTAAGGCATATGTAAAATGCCTCGCTAAGGCATATGTAAAATGTCTCGCCTTACGCCCACGCCTTTTAAAACACTGCCGTCAACAAATGGGCTCGTATATGCCCTTCATCACTAACGGGAGACTCATAAAGCCATGTGGAATATATGTGAGGGCAAGTTAGACCTAGTTCGAATTGTACAGGGAGGGGCATATATAAGTCAGTTAAAATAGTCATTTCTCAAACACTTCACAACTCCATATCAGTTTACTTAGACACCTATTTGACAACACCAAACTAATTATCACAGCAAATAAACTAAGTCATATACACAAACATTCAAATGAATGGCAATGACTTCATTAAATATCGCATAAGTAATAATGCCCATATTTCCATTGGTTCAACCAAATTGATTCAAGGTTGTCGACCATTCATATCTTGTATGTTGATTAAAGCCTCGTGCTGATAACGTGTTATAAAATATAGCTCAAAGTAACAATATAGAACAAGGAAAAACAAGCTAAGAGATATAGAGAGAAAGAGACGAGATATTCTTATTTCTTCTTCAATTGTGTGATCTTTCCGTCTATTACAAGACCTTTATATAGTCATAAAAAATAAAGAAATATGTCATTGAATATGTCATTAAGCATTTCAGATCATGGAGGAAGATCATGGGGAGGCTATGGAGTTACAATCATAACTCCATAAGTATTATAGTAGTGAAAGTTATGAAGATAATAGAGAAGAGTAGTGAGCATTACTCCTTTTGTGGTTATGGACATCCACCATAATTCAAGATTTTATAACACTATTTTCTTTTTTTGACCTATTATGTTAACTATTAAAAGAATGGTGTGGCAACAAATTTGAGTTTTTTTTTCAAATTATTGTTATGGATCACATTTCAATTTGATCCTAAATTTATAAATTTTATTTTCATCAAGTAAATTAAGTCCTCTTCATATCTTATCTAATAACTAATTAATTTGATAGTAAAAATAAAAAATATTTTGTTTTTAGAAAATGAAGGCAATTATTATTTCTTCATCATGCAGTTATGAATGTTCGCTTTGTATTGGCGGAATATATATGCAATTTCTTAAATTTGTCCGAATTTTTTATTTAGACACTTTAACTAAATGTTGTACATATTAATCACTTAAACTCACGCCAAAACTTTGTATATTAAACACATTTTTGACATCATGCAAAAATGCTTAATGCATGAGTTTCAAACGTATTTGATGTGGAAATGTGACAAATGAGAAAATGACAAGTCAAAATAAAACAAATGAAAAGAACTTTTTTCTTCCCCTCCTTTCATCTTCTTCTCGTCCCTCCCCCAACCCTGGTTTTCTCCCGTCTTTCGACACTCAAAATAATAAGCTTTCATGAATTTAAATGAGAGGTTCTCAAAATTTTATCACTCATATGAGAAGTACATAACTTGTAAACAAATTTTACATCAATCTAGGTCATGACCTGTTAGTTACTTAACGTCTGTGCATAATGTGCTAGTTAAAGAAGCCAATTAAACAAGACACGTTGCTTTTAACCAGATTAATGAATTAAAACATTAAGTAGTTACAAAGAAGACGCAAGGGAATTCAAGTACAATAAAATTTGCATGTAGTTTATCTTCACCTTGACATCGCGGTTGTACGTATGTTGCTGCATCTTTTTCAAGAGAATTTTTTCAGTCACCTTCTTAAAGCCTCGGGTAAACGCTTTACCTTGCCCTCCCATTTTATCTACTTACACATATAGGTGTCTAGGGGGCTGGGGATCCGATTTCGATCTAGTTCAAATCGATAAAAAATTAAATCGGCACAGTCAATTGGGGTCGGGGTGAGCCGTGTCACATGAAAATCGGGGCTTTGTTGTTAAGACGTATAGAGTTTTACATCTAGCTGTAAATATTTTACTTTCAGGTGTTAATTCTATTCCTGACATTTTTCAATATAATACTAATAATTTGTCTATATTCTTATCGTTTATTGCTATTGAATAATT